TGGGTGCATAATGCATGCTTTCAGTGCCGCGGTCTCTCCTTTCCAATAAACCACGGCCACTTCCGGCTGCGGCGCATCCAATCCCGCTAACGCTTCTGCGCGATTTATTCGGCCGCGAGGCCAGCGGAGTTCCGAAGGCTTATATTTCGCGTTTAATATCGCACGGGTGGACCAGCGCGCGTACTCCGTCGCGCGAAGATCGTCGGACGATTGGTCGATCCTCGGGCTCTACAATTCTACCGCGGCACGCGTGAAAGTGAACGTTCACCTTTCTCCGTAGAATGCAGGGATATTTCGATCATATTCGAGGCGGTTCCCTCGCCGATGGAATTATTCGCGAGATTCAATTTTAAGTCGGTGCTCGATAAATCCGCCGACCGAGCAAAACCGAGAGGAGGCGAATGAATTGTAACCGGACCGCGAGGCGCAAGCCAATAATTAGACCGAATTAAGTCCGTGACCCATTTGCCGCTTTTGTCCGCTAACGACACCGTTGCAGGTGTTCTCCGTTGCTGGGGCGTTCGCACTCGAACCCACCTTTCTCCACCGGCGTCGAACGGAATCGAAATCGTTTTATTCTTTGATGTCGCGCGCGGTAACGCTGGCGCGCCACAATCGCGTCGCGACTATCGCGGAGCCGTTCGTTCTCGCGGCCGCAGCCGCAGCCGCCGCGACTATCGCGGAGCCGTTCGTTCTCGCGGCCGCAGCCGCAGCCGCCGCGAACGAGCGGTCCCGCGACAATCGATTAACGGCGAAAAGTCGCGCGATAGGCGGCTGCAAAACGCGCGTGCAAGCAATTAAGGTGACGACGGCGATGGTTCGAGGTGGCAGACCCTTCGCCGCTCCGCGCGGAAACATTGTGATCGCGAATTAACGAGTCCCGATTTCTGCAGAAACCGTTCCCCGGGGTTTTTCAATCGGCCAGTTGGCAATAATTACTGGCGAGCAATTTTCAAACGCCTCGATTTCCCTCGCGTTAACGAGAAACAATTAAGGGCGACGTTGCGCTACGGAGAAACCCCGTCGAACAGGAAAATACATGGGGTCGAGGAGTTGTACGTCTCCTCGACGGTCTGCTTCGGGTTTATCTTTAGTTACTCTAGAAAGGTGAACTATTGAGGGTGCAGTGTGTCCACTCTGAAACACACGGCAGTGCTCTGTATTATTTCAGCTACCGCAGTAGCGGGGACAATGAGAACACGTCACTGATTGTGGTTTAAAGCAGACTCTTCATGTTAAATTCATGTTCCATATTTATAAGTATTTTACACACGGATGCAGAAAAAGATTAGAATTCGATGAGTTAGGTTATCGAGAAGTTAACGTGATTTCATGTCAGATGTCAGGCTCGATGCCACAGGCGTGGCTTCTGCGACTCCTCGGGAACAGTGAATTCCCGAGCGGTTTCGCGCGAGGAGTCCGCGACCAAATGAATTTCTATAAATCCCGGTGGCTCTCCCGAACCTCTCTCTCACTCTGTCTTCCCGTCCGCCCCCCACCGCTCCCCCTTTCTTTCTCCTCCGCGAACGATTAAAGTGGAAAAGTTCGTTCCACCGACTTGAAAAATCTGTGAATCACGTCGAGTCATAGCCGCGACCCCGTTCGTATGCTTTCGACTTCCAGCGAGGATCGTAAATCCGCGGGAATTCCAGTCAGACCGGCGATCGGACGGAATTAATGCCCGACAGAATAATTCCCGGCGATTTTCCTTTTTCCCGTACGCGCCTCCCCGAAGTTCGGGCATAAGAATCCTTTTTGTTCGAACTTAATCCCGGCAGCGGCGAGGGAAGTTTTCCCTCTCGGCGCGCAGTCGTTCGCGGAGAAACCGGGGTGGGCGAGAGTCTTCGGAGACTTTAAATTTCGACTTCGCGAGCGAAGCCGGACGAGTCCCGGCTCGGCCCCTTCGAACTTTTCATCCGCGAACCATTACTGGATTTCGAGCACAGTTTAATCTCGTCGTTTACGTGGAATAATCGCGAGACGCCTCGAGGATGCGCATTAAAACTCGCATTTTCCCCGAGATACGCGACCTCCGAACCCCCCTCTTATTCATCGTCCCGCATTTTTCAAACGTTCCCAGTGAAGAACGCCTCGGCCGTTCCTCGGGCGAGTAATCCTGCGCGGAGCGATTCCTTCTTCGAACTTTTCACTCGCGGCTGGCTCGATCCTCGGAACAATCGCCAGTCGCCGAGGAAAATTCGCGGAACTGCGCGTCTGGGACGTGCATCGCGCGGAATCCACGATTTCCCGCGGCGCGCTCTACACCCCGTGAATTCCGAATTCGCGGGACGAAGGCCGACCGAACTTTAATTCGGAGTTTCCGGTTACCTCGCGCCGCGGAACGGTTTCCTTCGGCCGCGCCGCGTTCGACGATCGATCCTCGGCCGGCCGAGTTGCGGGGAAAAAACGTTTCATACAGTTTCATTAGTTCCGAGCGAGCACAACTGTATCAGCCCGTGAACGGACGAAAGTGATTCAGTGATCGCGACATGCACGGGAGCCGATGTGCCGCTGCTTTCGAACGCAATTCAATCACCTGTGAAAAAGGACAGTCACTGTGGAACGTGTGACGCTTCTTACTCCGACTCGTGCTTTGTTCTGTACTCTTATCTCAGTGGTCAGTGAATCTTTGTGCGTTTCAAGCGACTCGGAATAACGTCCTGCGAAACGAAGGTTACTGCCTGTCTTTATGGTTTCCTAACGGTAGTAACGGTAGTAACGCGTTCAACAATCTCTCTCTAACAGTTAGGACGAACCTTTATCTAAACGATCCTACAGCTGTCCATAGAATCTCCTAATCCGCGATAACCTCGGTGACCTGTTCCTCAAAATTCGATTCACCCGAAAGCTGACCCTCCGCGAGCGGAATTGCATCGCGCAACGAACGCGTCCGATATCGGAACAATGCCGGATTTATTACAGGATGTAATGTAATGCTTATATGGGAGCAGCGATTCATTGTAATTACGCAGCGGTGCCGATGAATAGACGTAAGATAATGAACGCGTGGTTAACAAAGCCGGCCGGAGCGCGGGACGAAACAACGCCGCGCTCGGAATTCTACTTTTCCCGGGGCAGCCATTGGATCGCGTGAACGCTGCGCAAAATTGGCCGACCCCCGAAATTATTGACTCGGCACGGCGATCCGTGAAACACTCGTCCGCGAATCACCCGCAAAAGGTGGCGCGAATTGATATGGGTCCGCGGACCGCCAGCCAATTAATCTAATGCGCCCACGAATATCGGCGTTGCCCGTGGACGATACCGGCGACAACGACCGATCCGTTGAACGCACGAATCTGCATCGATCGCAACTTCCGCCGCTTTCACGCGAGTCATCTGCGCGTGTCCGCGATCAAAGTATCGGCCGCCGTTTTATCCGGAATTTATGTTGAGGACACGGCGGTCGTTAGGTCCCACATTCGCGAGGTTTTATCGTGCCCTCCCGCATGGGCGGTTTTATAATTTTCATGGGGAAATACCGCGTTGCTCGAGCCACTTCTCCGCTACAGAGCCCGTCCGCGTTTTTGTTCACTGGGCACGGGAAACTTGACGCTTTTGAGCCCGCGATTCAGCCTTACGGAAAATTGGCTACCACAGTTTATCGCGGCGGTATCGGCGCCGGTAATTACCGCGTGTGTAGTTAATGGAACATTAACCCGTTGCCTTATAATATCGACGGAGATTCGCGGTAAAGGCATTGCAATGAATTTAATGAATTTTAATACCGTCCATGCCGCGCCCGTCCGAACATACGAATGTTTCATCTTCACGGTAAATTTATTTCATCGTGTAGCATGTTACGTTTCGTATGTATCCAGCTATTTCAAGCCGAATAAGTTCTTAAAGGCGCCTTCCTCGACGTTAATAAGAGTCTATTTTCTCACCCCGGTGATCCTGGTCGGCTCGAAATAACCCTTTTTTTACGCGCTCGAACCGCTCGCGATGAAAATAGAGCATGGATAAAAAATGAGCCACCTACGGAAATAGATTCGACAAGCCGGTATAGATCTTATTCCGAATCGCGAAAGGTCAGTGATACCGGATGAAAGCAATTCGCTGCACCGCACAGCCCCGGACGATTAATAAAAAATTCATTAAAAGCAAGCGCCCTGTGTTTTTCTCCCTTACGGCGCGCGCTTGTCGAAATTAATTTCCACTAGCGAGACCGGACCAGGCTCGAACCGGGGCCGAATTCGAGAGCGTGGCCTCGGGCGACGCGTTTGTTCGAACACCAGCGGGGAATCTGATTTTTGTCAGGTGCACGAGTCGCGGCGGCAGGGAACTGCGGACGCGCAATGTGGAGTCCCAGCGAAGATCGACGAAAATTCGTTGCGCCCACGTTCGATCGTACCTCGGCAGGGGAACGTTTGTGAAAATCGAGCCGAACGGCCGCGGCGGCTCTCGCTGACAGAGCTGTTGGCGACGCGAGTTCGTTGCGCGGCGAATTGAAAAAGAAAGGGAAAAACGCATGATACACGTTGGACGAGAACAGACGAGAACTAAAAAATATGTAGAATTGAAATGGCTCTCGAAGCGAGTCCGACTTCTACGTCGTCCTCCTGTTTCTGTTTTCCGACCGGAATTTAATTAGCGCAGAGTCTCGCGCGGGGAACAACCTGTCGCAGAATTTTTCGGCTGGAGAGTAAGCTCGACAAGGTAAATGTTAATTTCCGTCGACCTTGGGGCAGATCGCAGCCTGATGAACATCCGCCAGGCGGAAGTCGCGAATGAATTTATCGACGTTCAACGAACCAAGGAGATTTCGGAAAAAATGCTCTTCGCGATCCCTTTCGAGAGTCGGCGGTAGCATCGATTCATTCCGACACGGCGTGGAACTCGTTTCGCGAACGTCGCCCGGCAACCCCCGCCTCGGGATCGAGAGAAACGAGTTTTGTCCACGGGGGTGGTTCCCCGGACGCGTTTTCCCGCGGCGGAATCTTATCGCTTCGAAGAATCGCTGGCTCGTACGTGGAAGTCCCGTACACTCGAGAGCTCACCTACGCTGCCATCCAATCTCCCGTTAGTGGATCCGGCTTGTTTCACAGACCGAATATGTTTCGAGGAAAGCCGTCGCTTAAACGAACGTCTGCAGAGTAAAGTCTGGATCTCCTGCGGCCCGACGGTGCACCGCCGTTTCCCGGCTGCGGCGATGTCTGTTTCCGATATTCCGGCGCAATCTGAAACAATCAACGGATATTTATCGTTTAGAATTGCCCGAAGATGCGAAAGATCACAGTATAAATCGACTGCCGCCGGTTCCGTAATGGATGGAAATACGGAGCTAATCGAATATAATCGCGTTCAAGGTAATCTCGTAACGCATTCGTCACGTTTATTACAACGGCGCGCGCGCGATCCGATTATCCGACTAAAATGTTCGAAATGAAAGATACTCCCATCGGCCGTAGGTTTGATTATTAGCGAAGGGATACGGAATGTCCGGCGATTAAGCGTTTATATCATTCGCGGCGTCCGGCAACGCGGAGAATCCGCTCGGGAAATCAGGGACGCCGGACCGTGGCTTGTTTCTGTCTGGATTTTACGGGTGTCGTTTGTATCGGCGAGGCGCGCCGCGCATCTCGAAAACTCGGCTGCGCGGGGCACAACGGCGCGACGTTAACGCTGATATTAATGTAACCGTGTTCGCGCCGGCACGCCACCCGCACCCGTATATAATATTCGAGGCTGACAGTAAGTGCTAACTCGTCGCCATTTCCTCGGCCCCGCAGCGCGCGGCCATTCTCCGGCTGTTCCCAGCCCGCTACCCCTTCCGCGATGAAAAGAGGGACCACCCCCGCGAACGTTGCACGGACTCGCTCCAGCGACGGCTGCTAATTTAACAGCCGAAATCACGGACGCCTCTACGTCGGCTTCGCGAATCGGTTACACTTCAAGTCCGCGGACATTTCATTGCTCGCTGCTACGTTTCAACGCGAAAGCGGCCCTTCTCGATTCGCTGCACTCTCGGTGTCAGACGCCTCCACGTTTCACTCGCGTCGCGAACGAAACACGTTGACGCGGTTCGATGACTTTTTTATGCACCCTCTGATTCCGGTTTCTCAAGGGATAGCGTAAACTTTAAGACGATACGTGATTCCTAAAACGACGAGATGTCTTTCGAGAGTTACAGTTCCCATCTGCACTGAATTTGTTAACTGATGCGTGAGAGGACTTGCGCGTGAAACGAGGTGATCTTGGGAGGAATTAAAACGATGCAGCGCTAGGTGGACGTGTTTATTTCAGCACGCTCTTCTAGCAACTGTTCAACAGTCATTGATTTGTTATACGTTTCGCAAATGTTGCACCAAAGTGCGTCGTAACTCGGACAACGAAGGATTTGATGCTCGGACGACGTGACGCGTCCGAAAACGCTTACGGATTGTACGGTGAAAAGAGAAGGAACGCGAATCGTGCGCCGACAACACGATTTTCTCGGTACAAAGCGACTCCGAGGAAATCGGCGGGCATCGCTGAGGTGAGGTTATCGGGAGCACGTTTCATACCCGAGTCAGCGTATTTTCAATTATGCGGATTTCAGATTTCGCTTCGAACTTTGCCGTGTCGGCTTCATTTCGGACGATTTTACGCCCCTTCCAGCCGGCGGGCTCGCCGCGCGTCGCGTAGGATTTAACTGGAAATTGAAATTAACAGCGGAAAAAGTTCGCACGAAAACGCGCGCGAAAAACAGGGAAAGCTCCGGCTCGAATTTCAAGCGCGACGTGGAACGTAATTACGGGTCGCATGATCCCCGGCCGTGAACATCAGCGCGTATCGCGCACTGCAGCCTCTGTTCCCGATCGAAACTCCGAATATTCGCTTTATCCGCGGGACTCTGTGCCGCACACTTTTTCCTCCGACGATGCAACTTCTCCGCGTGAATTAATATCGCGTAGCCGCGGAACAATAGCGAGCTGTTCGAAGCTTATTTTCCGATAGAATCGGCGAGTCCCGAGGATTTTCGCGGTCGTCGGGAATTCATTCCCCCAATCGATTCGCGGAACGATCGGAAAATGGAGCTGCGAATCCAGGAGTGCGGTTCGCGCGGCTGGCGAAACAGATGACAACGACGAATATCGAACTTCTCTGCGCCCGCTCGAACCTCTTTCTCTTATTGCCAGCCCCTTGCCGTTCCCGGCGACGCGCCGCGCGAGCTGCCGAACTCGGCTGAGCCGAAATTCCAATCGTTATAGCGTCCCGAAATGCGAGAGAGGAAAAGAGAGAAAGCTGCTGTTTCGACCGCCGAAATGTTCAAAATGCTTTCGATAACGACGGAACGACGGACGTGGCGCGGGGAGGCCGAGCGAGATATCGGGCAGCGATTCTTGCAGCGTTAGGCGAAATTCCGCGCCGCGCGGCGTTCCCACGGACATTTCTCGGCAGTCCTTCGCGTTCTCGATTTTCGATATCGCTGGCTTCAGCTCAAACCCTTGCTCTATGATTTCTTCCTCAGCTCTGATCGATACGACTACTCTGTCGTTAATAAAACATTAGAAAAAGAGGAAAACTGTAGTCATATTCTAAATCTATGTTTGCTCTTAAGTATGATAATTCGTCACAGAAGAATATTTACTTTGAATTCGAACGGATCGAGTAATATCAATGTGAAGTCACGTTAACGATATTCATCACGAGTCCGACGCGTCGTTACAAGGCAAGAGGTTAAACATTATATTTAAGTTAATATTATTATTAATAACAATCACAGCCTGGATTTCCTAATAGGATCGTGTCACGCACGCGCTTGTGCTCGTGATCTGCAACTCGAAGATTACGATTACCGGCGCAGCGGTACTATTTTCAATGAAATCTCCGTTACCCCGCCGAAGTTTCGGCCGCTAAAGTCACTCCGAGCAGGGTCTATCCTTGGGAGCGAAGGATAACGACGCGACTTGCGTCGTAAAACCGAGTTACCCTTTTGTGCCGCGTGACGAGCCTCGAAAAATGTCGTCCCCCTCGTTCCTACGATTTAAACGCTAATGGCGCCGGCCGGCGTTGGCTTCGTCGTCGATCCGTCTACTTTATTCACGCGAGTATCGCGACGGCATGAAACAGGGCTGGGCGGGAGGCAGCGTGTGAACAATAATAAATCCGTGCAACGACGTGAAACCGGCATAAATCTCTGGTTTAGAACAAAGACTCTCGCGGGTGGTGTTTGCGCAGAGTCCGTTAGGCAAACTCAATGCCCGAACGCGAGCGATGGCCAACGGGCGCTCGCGCTTTTTCCCTACCCGTGTCTACCTTCTCGCTGCCCCCTCCTTCCTCGCCGTTTTTTCTTCTCCTTCTTCCGCATTATCCCCGTGTCTCTTCGCTCTAGTTATTTATCTTCCTCCTCCTGCCTCTATCTGGATCCCAGCCGGACGTTATTTCTTTCCAGTCTCGTTTTTGCTCCCGTTCGGCACTGTTAACAGCGCGAAACGACGATTTCCAACAAAGCGCCGCGCCGACAAAGATACCGTGAGCTTTCCCGTCCGTCCCCTCCGCCCGCCGGTTCCCCGCGACCGTCCCCGGCGACCCTCGCTTTTTCCCGTCGCGTCGCGCGAAACCCCACGCGAATAAGTACACGCGTGCCGTCGCCCTGTCCGGCCGCGAGATAATGGAGTAAGGCGGCGAATTTGAGCGGCACCCCTCCGCCACTCGGCCGACAATAGCCTGTTTCCCTCCAGACACTTGAAATTCGATTCCCATTTCTTCGAATGCTCTTCAGAGGCACTCGATCCAAATTCGCCGGGCGAAGTTCGCCTCTACCCTCTGTTAGGAAACACCCTGGGCTACACCCTTGCTTCACGAGTATACGCAACGGAACTGGCCCGAACTGAAACTACGATTGATCCGAGGTAAAATATCGCGGACCGGGAAAGGATTAAACGTAGAGCCGACGATCGCAAGCGGAGGATTCCGAGTCGATCGTGTTCAAGATTACACCGACTGTCTTGCAACGAATGCTTCGCCGGCGGGTTTAAACGGGGGAACAGACCGGTGGTTCTCGAGTGACTCGGTTCGATTACCACCCTCGCAGAGGACGCGTTCCTTAAAACGAACGGAGCGACCGCTGTTCCAATTTGCGAGCGAGGGTGTATCTCGGGGCATCGCGAGTTACCGAGGCCGACGAGGGAGACGCCTCGGTTAATTTAGGTGTTGTGTTTCCTCGGGGAGCCGTCCGACGTCGACCCATCTTCTTCCCTTAGGTCATTCCCACCCTTATCCTCGCTAAAAAATACCGTTGACATTGGCGGCGGTAAGGTCGAGGTAACTCTGCCTCGCGGAAAGATCAATGTCTTCGCGCGAGTTTTCGCTGACTCTCGCTTTCCGCTTAACCGTCGTCGTCGACGGTACTTCGGCCGATAAGAGTTCACTCGCAATTCGAGCTGTCTCGCTCATCGATGGAAATAGCGTCGGTGATCTCAGCGTGAACCGTCCGACGAATTTCATCCGGGGAATCTTCTTCGCTATACCGGATAGATCGACGATTTCTTGAGCCGACGGTTGTTCGCGCGATCCGTCGCGGTACAGGAACGTGACGAAGCGTCCGGAGCACTTATCGGAATGACTAGGCGGATCGATCCCGACGGCAGCACTCCGGCACCGTAAACACCGTCGAATATCACGGTGCGCGATCTTCGAAGTCGGCTCGTGTCGCGCCCCATCCCAGTCTCGTTCTGTTCCACCCTTAAGTGGGTGCGTCCCGGGTTGCACGCGTACGCTAGCACCCCACGGCCGACGGCGTTCACGAGCGATTGCCGTCGCGGAAATGGAGTAGCCTCGGAGATGTCATGCTCATAATGCTACTTGACTGTGATTCGATCAGGACGGCCGTTGTCGACCCGCCGCCCGGTGAAAACCACTTACGACTACTTTGCTTTCATTACGGCCGATCGCGCCCCACAAAGAGAGAAACGGAGAGAGAGGGTCGATACAAATCGGAGGAGAAGAGGAACGAACCCCGGGACACGGGGGACGAGAAAGTTGATCACGAGTCTTGCGCGAACCGATCGGGGGAACGAGTCTCCATTGTTCTTCCCTCCATTCTTCGCGGAATCATCGACGCGGCGACGTGATTCGGTGCTTGTCGCCGGCGTAAGAACAGCGACGTCGGAAATCTACGGTTTTCGTAAGTGTTCCACATCGAGTTGACCCAAATGAACGTGGAGTGAGAAGGGAATAGAGATTCTCTAACAAT